GGCGGGGCAGCTCGCCACACAGCCAATTGCCAAAATCACTTGCAATTATTAATACCATTAATTATACCATTAATTAATGAGTGTTCTAAATGATATTCACAATCAATAATAATATCGAATGCAATAATAACGAATCCAACAATACTTCATTACCATCCTAAATGGCATCAGTAGTGAATTGAATACAACGAAATAGAACGAAAATAATGAATTCGTTTTTTAACATTCGTTCGGAAATTCAGCTATATCTTTGAAAATAAGCAAGGAATTTTATAGACCACATCCTATATAAGGTGTTTTTATCATAGTTTCTATAAAATACCTTTTATCGGTCGTATACAATATCAGGTACTTTTACCGAAGTTTCTATAAAAGTACTTTTTATAGAAACATCCTATATAAGGTACTTTTATCATAGTTTTTATAAAATACCTTTTATCGACCGCATACTATATAAGGTACTTTTACCGAACTTCTATAAAAGTACTTTTTGCAGAACATCCTATATAAGGTACTTTTACTAAATGTCAGCAACTAAGCAAAATCCCTTGCCACCATATATGCTATTCTAATCGAACAGAATCTCAGCTCTTCAATGGAGCCAAGAAACCAGATTGTTGCAAGATCTTGAATTAATGCTTAGGTTTGCGTTTGGACTCGTAATGGAACGGCTCACAGTTACAGTACTTTTCTCGCAGCAGAATGCGTACTACGATAAACCGTTTCTTATTTATCACAAGGGGATAAATGTTACTGGTTAGGAAGAATTTAATGCATACATCGTAAAGACGATAGGCATTATCACAAAACGATGAGCCGTGAGCACTATTAAAATGACGAATCATTTTCGATGGTGCATTGAGAAATGAATAAAAATCATTGAAATTGGGAGAGTCATACGACTATATTGATGGATGAGTTGTATTCAGAACAACTTCTACAGATGAAGCGATGAGTATAGGTAAATGACGAGAGATCGATGAAAAGAAGAGAATCGCACCACAAAACAGATAAACGAAATGAACGTGTCTGTCTTCAAAACGTTGCTCCCATATAATATCTATCGTAACCAAAGTACTTTTTAAAAATTGCATTAAAAACGTCAATGGAATATAACGTTAAATTAAAAATATAGTAATTAAATTCGCCAGGTAATCCAGGTTAATTAAAAATTGGCAATACGAAATTTTATGGTAGTGACCAGTGTTTATTTTACAGCTTTAAGTTAACTATTGGTCTTCAAAACCAATTCGCCAGGTAATCCAGGTTAATTAAAATCACTAATTAAAAAACGCACGATACTATAAACACAACGACAATGCGCGCGAAGATTGCCCGGGGCTTTATCCCACGCTACAGTATACCTCACAATTGCTATAAGCAGCTAACTGTCATAAGCAGTTAGCTGCTTATAGCGATCATCAGGCATACTGTGTAGTGTGGGCGGGACAATCAATCGCAGCGTGATTGTGGGCGGGGCAGCTCGCCGTGGCTAGATGCTGAAGGGGAGAGCTTTTAATTATTAATAACATCGCTTATTCGAGGGACCTCAGTCCTCAGTTTTGCCCAATAACAATATAATTTCTTGACATCGTTGGAAAGCTGAGGTTTTCTGCTATCAGAAAAATATATATGTTGTTGAGGGATTCTGCTTAGTTTTGGAGATATAGCCAAATATCTGAGTAACACTACACTGNGTAGTGTGGGCGGGACAATCAATCGCAGCGTGCTTGTGGGCGGGGCAGCTCGCCACACAGCCAATTGCCAAAATTACTTGCAATTATTTCAGCTATATCTTTGAAAGTAAGCAAAATCCCTCGATAAAATATATATTTTTCTGATAGCAGAGGATGTTATGTTTCTAATCATACCAAGAAGTCATATTGTTAATGAGCAAAACTGAGGACTGAGTTCCCTCATTCGAATCATACTAGTGATTTTCCTACAGCAGTGTAGTGCTGTTCACCATATCTCTGGAATTATGGACTGTAGAAGGATCATATTCCAGTTGTGTTCATTGCATAAACGTTTGCATATTAATTCATTCGTAAATGAATTAATTGATAATATTGTAGGTGTGAACGTCGTGGGTGATCCACACAAACAGATCAAACAAACGACCTGACACATTGCCAAAAACTTTACGGACGTCAGCAATTTTAGTTCGTTGCCAGGGAATTGCCGATTCCTTAGATATTTCTTCTCATTTCTAAAGAATTCCCCTTCCCTCAGACCTATGCAATTTAAGCACTCGTTCAAATGACTATTGCCAATTAAAAGTGCTCCTTGACATCAGCACGTCAAATACTTTTCCCATTACATTTGTTGTTTCGAACTAAGTACGAAGTTCTAATTCTTTATTCTGATCTGTCGCAGAAATAAAAACGAAAGAGTTGAATCATAGATTGAACAATTGCTGTGATCGTTAATCATAACAGAATTATTTTTCGAATCGTTCGTTGATTTTGAAATATTCCAAATGCGCGCAAACTAGCCGCCACGAGGATTGATTTGGATTGCCACTTTCAGATAAAGTGCTTTGCGAATGAGAAATGGAAGTAAATTAATTGCAGGCTTGGGCTCGCTAGGGTTTTATTGCTTCGAATACATTTTATTGGTTTCGTGTGGTTGTTGTTTACTTGCATGACCGTTCTGTCAGTGCCTGGTGGTAAGGGCCGTGGTGGTCCGATCGAAGGAGAAGGTCCTGAACGAGCCACGATCTCAACTCAAAATAATGTAATCATTATAACAAGCGATAATTCAAATGGCTCATATCAGTGATATTGGAGCACCACCCGGTTTACCCACTCCCGGAAAGTAAACCGAGTGGTGTAGCAGTAATTATAAACTGTTATTAATCAATTGATTGAAGGTTGGACCGATGACAGCCCAAGAAACAATGTTTTTCAATCGAGTCAAGGACTGGCTAGGTACTGGTGTGAACGAACGTGTCCTTATGCAAGTCGTTAAGGTTCATTTCTTGTGGCTATTTTATTGTTATTATCATAAATATAATCTGTTAGTTACAATTGAAGAGTAATTCAATGATATCGACGACGAACACATCAGAAGGTGCAATGAACGATCTTGTTGTGGCTTATTTGGACCGTTTACAGACCGAAAATAAGGCCGGGAAGCAGGTTCGATTTGATGAAGTGAGAATTTACGTTCGGTTTTAGAAAGCAAAAGCTTGAAATGTTGACAAGAAAATTAAAATTGAAGGCCGTTGACAAGTGCACATCTGGTGGTGAGTATTCGTCAGGCAACACGATCGATCATCGCATCCAAACGCATGTCACCGAAACGATTCAAGTCAAGTCAAAGGGCACTACGAATCGTATCAAAGCCTATTCAAGCACCTGTCTCGAGAATCGAGAGGAACAGGACGTGATTAAGTTCGTGCATTCCATACATCACCTATTCTATTAGCACTGCACCAGAGCAAGCTTTCCGAATTGCAGAGCAATCGAAGA